TTTATGTGCATGCACGTTTGAATACGACCAAGTTTTCTTTATGTGCATGCACGTTTGGTGAGTAATGGTCTGTGCCTCGACCACAGGGGGTGAAGGTGTCCTCCTTCGAAGAGTTTGACCATAGGGGATGAAGGTGCACTTACAATCATTTTGCCACTTTTATCATTTTCACAATTGAACTACATTCATTCAAGAATCATGTCGATGACCTTCAAAATAGCGGTACACCTAGCATAGGTGGTATTAAAGAAGTTCATTTACCCTATGGAGATTCGCCCCAAACGAGATACAAGATGAAGAATATAACAGTATAACTCCACCATCAGCAGATAATATCCATTTTAACCCGTTACATATCGTCATCAACCTCACAATTTTAAAACACATCTACTCGAGAGAGGTTTACACACCCTTATAAGGAATGTTTCGTTCTCCTCTTCATCCAATGTGAAATCACTACGCTCTCTTTCCGATGAAAGGTCCTACAAGCTGTACTAGGTGTTGAGGAGTTCCAAGCTGTTGCTAGTCTGGGTTTGAAGTGTTTACAGGGAATGCCAGACCTTGTTCCTTCACTTCAAACTATGGTTCTATGCTAAGATTCCAACCCTTTCTTGCACATATCTATAAGTCTGCATTACTCATTTCTTCCTGCATTCCTCACAAGATAAAAAACATGGCTTACTACCTAGCCCTGAGTTCATCCAGCAACAATAATCAGACTAAGCCTGCAATGTTCATCAGCCACTTGCAAGTTCTTTTATGCATGGTTTTCAGTCTGATTTTACTGAATTATGAACATTAAGTCTGGTGAGCAATAAAGTTGCTGCCCTTGATGAGTCAGTGTCCTAATGAGAACTTGCAGTTGCTGCAACATAATTAATGCTTCATTCAAGAAAGAGAAAAAGAAACCCAAAGGTAAAATGTTATTTTTCACTGACAATCAAGCATGCTGTAATAGGAGAATCTAGTTGAGAAAATAGTGATGTGTTTATACCGGTTTCTCACCGAATATAACACCACCGAATATACCACCAAACATGTTAATAACTCAATGATCATCCCCTTACTTAGCCAACAATCTTTCTCTCGAACAAAGTACACCATAGAGCCTCCCCTAAAGTCTAGAGGGCCCTCAAACAACCTCTCCTTAATCGAGGCTCAACTCCTTCTCTGGAACCCTTCAAACAAAGTACACCATTAGTTCGACACTTGAGTCACTTTTGACTACACCATCGAGACTCGCAACTTCTTTGTTCGACACTTGAAGATTCTATTAACATAACTAAGTTAAGAGCAAGACTCTAATATCACGTTAAGAACTACGAATCTCCACAATGGCATGATATTGTCTACTTTGAGCATAAACTCTCGTGACTTTGCTTTTGGTTCCTCAGTTATGAATCTATAATCATCCCCCCAACCATCTTCATTAAAAACATTTATGAACTAGATCAAGATATTGTTCAGTAATTGCCCATCAATTGCATTTAAGCCAAATCATGTTCAATAACTCACTAGAATAATGGCGTCTTCTAGACCAGTGGGGGCAAGTCTAGCCCAATATTTCAATGCAGTTCACCAAACAAGATTCATTGTGATGATATTAATTCTGCAACAAGTAGCATTTAGAGAGAACACTAAACTCAGGTCTATAATAAAAAAGATGGAAGATACCTCCTTGTAGCTCTAAGAACCAAAACTGTACTTCTAACGTATCTACAGTTCTATCATTTGGGTACCTAGCTCAATTCAAGAATCATAAAGAAGTCATTTAAGATTGCAGCAATAAATTCACAATTACTTTGGTGGGAACAGCAGGGTACGGATGAACTCAAAGATATTAAAGGTCAACATGTGGGGAACCCCAAGAACAGAACATATTGTAAAACATGAACAGGAATGGACAGCAGCTCATACCAATTAATTCGTTCGACCATAATTTTAATGGGTTGGGTAATGATCTCTAGAAGGATGGATATTCCAACTCCGTTTTCAATCACAATGCAATGTCAGAAGATAAGATCATAACAGGAAGTATCAGAAAAGCAGACACAATTCAAAAGAAACAAGACATCTTTAAAACCATTCCTCGGCTTTAATTTACATAACAAACAATATATGAGTGTTAAGAATCAAGTGGACATGATAAAGCAAAATCGAAATGGAGAAATTAAATTAAAACCTAATCTTCAAATTGGGAGGTGGAAATCTGTGTCTGTGTCGGCTCAGGCAGCGAACATCTTGAACAGGATGAAGAACAGGAAGCCAAGAAAGATGAAGAGGAAAAGGTAATCGACGAAGACGAAAAAGGAAGTCGACCCATGATTTCTCTTCTGCTTCTTTCCAGAGACACTGTTATCTTTGGCTAGCCCATCAAGCGGCTCCAGTTTCGCCATTTTTGAAGCTTAGAGTTGCAGGAAGAAGAAGGAGACTACAATTAAGTAGATCTCAGGGTTTTATATCATCCATCTCTACAAACGCCTCCTCCTAAACAGATCGCATTTTGTGGGCCTCCTTCATCACACATCAAATTGGGCTTAAAACCTAATTATAAGCAGAAAAATTTAGGGTTAATGGACCTTGTGGGTTGGACCCATCAGATTGATTAGTCCATTAACAAAACTTGAATCTTCCTCGTTGATGATGATGACCATGGCGGCTGCAACAAGGTGAGGTACACTCCAAAGTCAAATCTGTGTTAATATCTTACTTTCATAGTCCGGCATAGAGCAATTATATATCCATTTCAAGAAATAACTTTTGATGTCACCATCTTAGGTTGAATTAATAAATAAACAATCTTCCAACTTTAGCTATAATGTTGGATATTTGTTTGAATAGCATGAAGTTGTTTATTTCGTATCTTGTTCTCTTGTTCTCTTGTCAAGTAGTCGATTTATACACAGTTCAGGAACGTGGTCGATTGAAGTTGTTATCTTGTGTTTAAGAACGTGGAGCGTTACGGACCTAGTGGGTTCGGGCCCATGAAGTTGATTAGTTCATGACAAACATGATACAAAAAGGAAAAGAAGAAAAAAAAAACAAATAAACAAACAAAATGATTGAAGGTTATGAGAAAAGAAAGGATAGAGTAGTGTTTTGAAGTTTGTGGAATTGAAGAGAAATGGTGGAAAGGAAAGGGGATGAGTTGGGGGTGCATAGAAGTGCTAAAAAGAAGTGTTATGGGCTCAATTATTGATATATTCAATGATCGCTTTATGCAAAGACCCATCACACCACACCGTCCGTTTACGGATAAGAATGCTTCATTTCACTCGCTCTGACAGTTGTGAGATTTTACTATCGATCTATCTGACAAATGCTTCGTTTACGGATAAGAATGCTTCAATTCACCTCCTTTACGGTGCCCAATGTTCTTAATGAATGCTTCGAATCCACCTCCCTTAAGGGGCCCAACTTTTTTTTATCTCCAACCGACGTGGGATTTCACAATCCACCCCTATTAGGAGTCCATCGCTCCCAAGGAAGACTTCTTTCCCCTCTCTCTCTCTCTCTCCAACTGATATACGATCTCACAATCTACCTCTCTTAAAAGCCCAACGTCCTTAACGAATATCTCGTTCCCCTCTCTAACCGACGTGAGATCTCACACTTCATCTCATTTCAGGGCCTAGTGTTCATCATTAGCACACAACCCACCGTTTGACTCTAATACAATTTATAAGCCCACAACTAGCTAATATTATTTAAACCTCTAAGTTTTAAAACACCGTATGCTATGGAGAGGTTTCCACACACTCAACAAAAAATGATTCGTTCCACTCTTCACAATTTAACCCCTTAAAACCAAGCGTCCTCACCGACACACTGCACCACGTTATCGATAAATGTAGATATCATAAATAGTGAAAGCAGATGGATGTAGAGGGTGTGTTCACACACACACACACATCCACAACCCAACCCTTTTTAAATAAAAATCCCATCAAATAATTTCAGTCCAGAGAATGATCTTTCATTGCCTGCTACATCACTACCAGCTTTTTGGCTAACCTTCGTTTGGCCATTGTCACTGCCCACTGTCCACACATGCACCAAATCATTAAAAAAAAAAAAAAATTATTATTATTATTATTTGATTATTTAAAATCTTTCAATTTTTTTAATCTAAAATCAAAATAATTCTCGCGACGATCAATAAGATAAAAAAGAATATTTTTATAATACAATAAATAGAATATAAAATTTAAACTTTTGACTAAGATAATAAATTAAATATAATTGAACTATGCTCAAATTGATTTTAATTTTTTATTTATTTAAAAACACACGTGGGAGAGGAGATTTAAAACAAAGATTTGTTAAATAACATCTCTTCAATTTCTACATATTTTTATTTTCTTATAATATAAATCAAATTTAAAAACATTTTTGGCATTTTTCTCACATGATAATTAAAAATTCGGAATACAACTGTTCAACCAAATATTAATTTATTCGCAGTAGGACGCATCATTTCTTTATTTTAACTTGATTCGAATATCTACCCTACAGTAAAAAAAGAAAAAAAGGTGAAAATATTTTAATTTAACGAAGATGAAAGTCCAAAAAAAGGTAAAATTTTAGGTATCAAAAAGGTGGAAAGGTGAGTTTTTTTTGGTGAGAGATAAGAAGAAGGTCCCCACAATGCCATGAACTCTTCACATACATACATACATACATACAGACATACATGAAGAACACATCCATCTCTCTGCTGCTATTGGATAAACATATGATTCTAATGGGTTCATTATAGTTGAATCCGATTCCATCTTTTTTGGGTCATAAAATATTCATTTGGGTTTTATTTGTTTCGTCTAAAGGTAAAGTTTTGTAAGACATTGCAATGAATCCACTGTAATTTGAGTTACTTTTGTGACAGATATATATCCATTTTGGTCTTGTTTTGTGGTGTGTATTCTGTCGTACGTTCATAATTATCTTGTTTTTTTTCAAGTACCGCAACGTTTTTGGGCCTTTTTAACCCACAACGCGATACCCCCCAATACAGAGATACTCGATTGACTGCTCCTCCTCGTGCTGCTGTTGCGGCTGCTGCGGCTGCGGGCGTGTTCAAGGCGGCGAGGTGCGCACCATGTTTGAAGACGTAGAAGACATGGTTGATTGGTTCGAGCGAGTGTCGTCAGAAGCAGGCGTGGCTCAATTGCGCACACTCCGCGAGATTCTGCGCCAGAATTGTGGCGTGGAGTATCTAAACCAATGGCTTGGAGATGTCAATATCCATCAAATTCCTGATGACTTTGCATTGGAATCCCTCTTCACTTCCTTAATCCCCCTTTCTTCCCACGCTGATTTCGAGCCTTTTCTTCAACGAATCGCCGATGGTGACTCTTCCCCTTTGCTTACACAACAACCCATTCGAACTCTCTCTTTAAGGTACACCCTTCTTCAACATTTTCCCCTACATTTTATGAATTCCCTCTTTATTACAAATGATATCATTACGCCGCTGCAGTTCTGGCACCACCGAAGGCCGACAAAAGTACGTGCCCTTCACTCCACATAGTGCGCAGACTACCCTTCTCATCTTTCGTATAGCTGCTGCTTATAGATCCAGGTACCAATGCAATATGGTCAGAATCTTCATTTTTTTTTAGTTGCCCTTTTCTTGCAACACATTAAAGAATGCCTTAATGACAACTAGGGTTTATCCCACAAGGGAGGGAGGCAGGATTTTGGAGTTCATTTACAGTAGTAAACAGACCAAAACCAAAGGAGGGATAACCACGGGCACAGCCACAACCCATTACTACGCCAGTGAGCAATTCAAAATCAAGCAGCTCAAAACCAAATCCTTCACTTGCAGCCCACAAGAAGTCATTTCCGGCGGTGATTACAAGCAATCCACTTACTGTCATCTTCTATTGGGGCTGTTCTTCTCCGACCAAGTCGAGTTTGTCACCTCAACTTTCGCTTACACCATAGTCCAAGCCTTCAACGAATTGGAAGATTGTTGGCCTCAAATCTGTCACGACATTACCCATGCCACACTCTGCTCTAGAATCACTCTTCCTGAAATCCGTAAGGCTGTTTTGAACATCATTAGTCCAAACCCAATTCTTGGGGCGAAAATTGGAGCTGTTTGTGAAGAGCTTGAGAGACAGGATTGGTTGGATTTGGTTCCGAAGCTATGGCCGAATTGTAAGTATGTTTACTCCATAATGACGGGGTCTATGCAGCCGTATTTGAAGAAATTGAGACGCTATGCGGGGAGGTTGCCGTTGGTGAGTGGGGATTATGGATCGACAGAGAGTTGGATTGGGGTTAATGTTGATCCTTGTCTGCCGCCTGAGAATGTTACATTTGCGGTCGTACCCACTTTCTCTTATTTTGAGTTCATCCCACTTTTCAGACAACATCAACAACATGATTGTGGCAGTTCCTCCGTTGCTGCCTTCGATGATTTCTTGGAAGGCCAACCCCTTCCCTTGTCTCAAGTCAAGATTGGACAGCAGTACGAACTTGTTCTCACCACTTTCACAGGTTAGTTCATTAATTATCAACACAAATCTAATCAAACGCCTTGCTTTTGCTCCTTCCTTTATCATTATGTCATCCATAACTATTGCAAAATATCTATTCCATGGAGAAGATTAGTTTTTAAAACGCGTTTAATGGGGAGAGTTGTTTCGTGTGATCACCCAATTCGCTTCTCTTGGAGACCCACACATAGTTCAATGTCTAGTTCTTAAACGAACTGTAACGACCCGACTTTTCTTTGTAATGACTCTGACCGCTATGTATAAGAAAAGTCGAGCCGTTACAATTAGTATCATGATTTGGTAATCATGGATCATTGATTTGATCAGTAATGATCAGTCCTATACGGACAAGTTGAGAGAAATTTCCAACCTTCCTTATTTGGCTCAAAAATTTCCGAACTTTCCTTGTCAACATGATGCTTACATTGATTTCGCAAAGGTAAAATTTTGTACCAAGTTTTGTTTTTTTATTGAAATTTTCAATAAAGCCTAAAAAATGTGAAAACTTTTTTTACTACAGTTTACCTTCACATCAAATATAGAGCATCCGAGAGTAAACATGTAACCATTCAAGCCCATTACTACCTGATATTATCCTGTTTAGACTTTCTGTCTCGAGCTTCTCTTAAAATGCATCTTTAGACTTTCCCTTTCGAGCTTCCCCTCATTTAATGGTAAATATGTGAACATTCTTTACTAAATTTTTCTTGTCACATCAAATATAGAGCATATAGATCATATGATTAATATATAATAGCTCGAGTATTATATTCTTTGTGTTTTCCTTTACGATCTTCTCTTTAAGGTTTTTAAGACACGTCTGTTGAGAATAGGTTTTTACGTACTAGTTATAAGGAGTAGTGTTTCGTTCTCATCTTTGAAAGAGGTGGGATTTCACCGAATATATTGACATAGATCAATTTAAACATAGCTCAGATGATTATGACATATATGTTTCATCTTCGACCCAAAGGGGTTAATGGGTTTTGGTATTGGTTGCTCAACGGATGACTATGACATGTATCTTCGATCGAAAGGGGTTAATGGGTTTTGGGTATTGGTTGTGATTGGCAGGACTATACAGATGCAGATTAGGAGACGTAGTAGAAGTAGCAGGGTTTCACAACAAGACACCTAAACTCAACTTTATATGCAGAAGAAAGCTTGTATTAACCGTAAACATTGACAAGAACACCGAGAAGGATCTCCAATTGGTAGTGGAACGAGGGTCCCAGCTGCTAGCCGACCAAAGTGGAGCCGAATTAGTTGACTTCACCAGCCATGCCGACTTAACCAACCAACCAGGCCACTATGTCATCTTCTGGGAAGTCAAAGGGCACGTCGAGGACGCAGTTCTTGGACACTGCTGCTCGGAGATGGACGCTGCTTTCGTGGACTACGGCTACGTGGTGTCCAGGCGGTCCAACACCATCGGACCCCTCGAGCTAAGGATCGTGGAAAGAGGCAGCTTCAACAAGATCATGGAACATTACATTGGTAACGGAGCTGCACTTAGCCAATTCAAGACCCCCAGATGCACTACCAATCAGGTTCTTCTTACCATTCTCAATCTCTCCACTGTCAAAGCCTTTCATAGCACTGCTTATGGCTAAGTTTGGTTATTAATATTGTTAGTATTTCCCAATTTTGAATCAGTTTCGGATCATTTCATTCTAACCAAATTAGAGTGTCACTGAACACTTACTCATCATTGCATGTAACGAGCCGAAACGAATAATATTTGTTAGTGGTGGGTTTCGGTTGTTATAATCAGTATCAGAGATAGACACCGAGCTGTCGTATCAGTTGGAGAATAGAACAAATCATTCCTTATAGATGCTATCATAGTACCTCGAGAGTGAATAAAGTTTCGGTCGTCGTCGTCGTCTTGTTGTTTTTGCTTTTATCATCATAAAGCTGCCTCAACTCTTCTTCCACTGCTAGCTCTTAATGGGTTTGCTTTTGATTTCTACTAAAATCCTCCATTTGTGCATTATTTACTGCTACCCCCCTCCCCTATTCCTTCTCCTATGATATAATTATAAGGTTAAAAATGTAAATTTGTTAACTAATATTATTTTTTTTTTTTAGTGATTTATAATTTTGTGGGAAAAAGAAAAAGAAAGTGGGTGATGTCATATATATGAAAAGAAAGAGAAGGGGAGAGGGAATGAAAAGGACGGCACGTGCGAAAATTGAAGTTTGAGGTTCTAAATCCACACTGACAAGAAAGGGGCCCACACGTTCAGAATTTGAGCGGGAACTGTGTCAGTGGTTACACTGGATTCCACCTGGAAATACAAATATATAAAAAAATAAATAATTATATATATATATATATATATATTATGTCACGTGTTTAATTAGATTGTCTTTTAGCTCCTTTTTTTCTTTAACTTTAAAAGCTTACCGCCGTGACACGTCACGTCATCCAATCACTTTACCCCACGTGCTTATTGTATTTTGTCCTCGTCCACTTATTCTTCCCTCCTCCGAGGCAGTCTTTCTGTCAATCTATTCTTGAAATTTTAAATTAATAAAATTAATAAAATTATAAAAAATAAAATATTATTAAGTTCAAAATAATATATTTAAATTATTATTGAAAATTATATGTTTTAAAAACCCCCGTTGGACTATCTCCATGAAGCCCATCTGAGCCCAGCCCATTATCCAATCTGAGCCCAACCCATCATCCAATCTCAAGCCCAGCCCATCATTGGTCACGGCCGCCGTTTAGTCGGAGATCCTTTTGACCGCCGTGGGTTAAAAAGTCAACTGCCAAGGTTAAAACTCTTGACAGAATTTTTTTTTACCATTGCCACGTGGACAGTCAAGATTTAAGATATCTTTTTCCGACGTCCGACAATAGTTTTAAAGCTCCAGCTGTGTTTCAACGTTGACCTTTTTAATTATATTTAAATCGGACGGTGGAGCTTTAAAAGTTTCAACCTACGACACACTAACCGCGTTCCATTCCGTTATAAATAAGCTCACTTTACTTCACTCACTGCCATTCCCAACTAACCCACCGAACCAGCTCGTCTACTCAAGAACTCCATGGTTTGCTTTTGCTTCCTGGTGGATCAGAAGCGGAGGATACGGCGGAGTAGGCCGGCCCCTGGAATTTGCTCCAGGTGCGGCGGCGGAGCCAGTGTAGCCGACATGAAAACCGCCACCAGATTCTGTCACGTCCCATTTTACTGGAAATCATGGAGGGCCCTCATCTGTACCTTTTGTGGATCTGTTCTTCGATCCTATCGCTAATTTTTTTTTTCCCCCCCTTCATTTTCTTTATGTTCTTCATCAAATGTTGTCTGGAATTGTTCATCTTCAAGCTCGATGAATTAGTATTATAAACATTCAAAAAGAAGGTAAAAGAACCAATCAAGATTACAGAGAATGTTTAAAATCACATACTTTGAAGATCAAAACATTGAAATTTGAGATATATATGATGTACAAATAGATGAAATGTAATGCTCGAGATTACCCAGAAAGCAATTTGAGGTACCTTTGAATTATAGCCTCCTGCGAGAGGTCTGTGAAGTATCCTTCCCCCACAGCTAAGCACTCGTTTTGTGCAAGCCTTTCAACTTCCAGCTGCACCATTTTGCCGCTCACTTCAGTTGGTTCAAGCAAATTACAAGCCACTTCGATTACGCCTTCATCATGAGCAAGAGCCATTGCTTGAACAGATGGAAGCCCGCCTCCTCGCTCGCTCACTTGCTTTGAGATTTTACGAGTAGTAGCGATGTTGGTGGTGAAAATGGGGACGTTGTAGTTATCAACCCACTTTGTTGCTCCAATTACCACAACGCCTGTTGCTTTACTTGCTTTAGCTGGACCCTCATCTGGGTTCACTGGCAATGGATCTGATTGCAGCCCTCCAGCCCATTGTAAGCCATCGGAATTTGGCTTGAAATAGCCAAGTTCTCTTCTGATTGTGGCTAGCTTCCTTCCTTCTTCATGAGCTGCTCCGTAGAGAAATGTTGGGACTGCAGGCTATGGTTTAGATCATTAGCACCACATGAGGGATGATGATGATACCACAGAGCAATTGAAGCCATGAAACTCTTAGAGAGCAAGTGCAAACATGATATAACATATGAACATATGAACGCTGGCATTTAAGAAGCCCATGAAAAATGTTCAGGGAATTTCAAAGCAGAAGTTTATATGCCATCACTCCACAACCCAACCCAAGCTCACGCCAACGCAGGTAACAAATATTGTCTTCTTTGAGCTTTTCCTTTCAGAATTCTACTCAAAATTTTTAAAACGAATCTGTTAGAGAGAGATTTCCACACTCATATAAAAAATGCTTTGTTCTCCTCCCCAATCGATGCAGGATCTCGGAATCCACCCCATTTGAGGCCTAGCATCCTTGCTAGCATACCGCCTGTGTCCTTCGTTTTCCTCCCCAATCGATGCAGGATCTCACAATCCACTCCCCTTCGAGGCCCAACATCCTTGCTAGCACACTGCCTCATGTCTCACCCCCTTCGAGGCTCAGCCTCCTCGTTGACACATCGCCCGGTGTCTGGCTTTGATACCATTTGTGACAATCCTAGCCTACCATTCTTTTTCGGTTTTTCCTTACGGGCTTTCCCTCATAGTTTTTAAAATGTGTTTACTAGGGAGAAGTTTCCACACCCTTATGTAAATGCCTATGAAGTTAGCATTCCTCCCCTTTACACAGCCAGAGTGTAACATTGTGGTGGTATGATATGAAAAGAAGTGCATACCTTGTAGACCACATCCAACATCAGCTGCCAGAGACCTTGCAATCATAGCAGCATCATCCAAGGAAGCAGAAGCCAAGGGATGAAAGCATATATGATCCACAACTCCGAGTCGAGGGTGGCTGCCACAATGCGAGTCGAAGTTGATCGACGAAAATGCAGCCTTAATCATGTTCAGGACAGCACTTCTGAGGGAACATGGCTTTCCAGATGGCTTTAATGGGAGATTGGAAACAAGGGTATATCCTACTCTGTTGTAAACATCATCCGTGAACTTGTTGATAATGGGTGCATCAGGGAAGAGCTTGGCAGCTCGTTCAATTGACTCCAGTGCAACCTTGTTTCTGCTTTCAGAAATGTAAACCTTGCAGCAAGCAAGAACCAATTTTGACATTTCTCTCTTTACTGCAGCTCACTGGCTGCACAAAATGATATCATTTAGTAGTCAGAAGATGCAGATTTATGTGTATAACATATAAGACCAAACAATCATCTAACGAACTCAGAAATTCCACCAATCTTCACAAAAATCAAACCAAAACTCAATATCTTTTCCATCTGAAGCCGATTTCGGATAGCCATTACACTCGGATTTGACACCCAAAATGGCGCAAATCGCTTGCAATCTCTACAAACCCGAATCAGAAACTGTTTCTGTTGGATTCGAATTGCAGAATTCCACGCGTCCACACACCCTCGATAGAATCCTAGTTGCTGGGCGACCTCGAAACCAGCTTTAAGGCCTACCCATTTTGTATCTTCTTTGCCAGCGTCTAGGCCAGCTTTATAGGGCTCGGCATAGCCATACACTTCAAGTGGGTTTCTTCAAAATTGAGGGAAGAAATGAAGATGTCGTGTTTGAAAACTGATTTAACGAGAAAAGAAGAAACTTTTTTGTTTATAGATTTTACCTGGCGACTGCTGGGTGGCTTCGATTTTGGCGACGCGAGGGTGTTTGTTGTCCACGACGGATGTTCTGTTCACCCAATCCTAAAGAAACTCCATTCTTGAGGCATCGAAGTATCCGGAAAGTTACCAAATTGGAGAGCTTTTTGGTGGGCTTGAAAGGTGGGAAGCTCGAAGGCTTTCAGAGTAAGCCCACCCATCGAAATGCAAAAAGGCCAATAAACTGTCCACGTTATATAACTTTTTTTTTTGTATTTTGAATTTAATTCAATTTTAGCGGTTCAAATTAAATTCTTACACTAATAGTTGATTTTTCTCTAATCGCATTTTTTTTAATAAAGGTGTGAAAACATCTGGCACTTTAAAACCACAAGGAAAAGCTTGTTAACGGTGAACTTAGGTTATCACAAATAGTATTTATTTGGAAAAGGTGTTTTTTGGAAACCTCAAAAGAGAATCCAAAAAATACAATATCCCCTCAAAAGAGAAAACCTTAAGAGACAATATTTGAGGTATCAACTAGTAGTGGGCTCATAAGGGTATGAAAACCTCTCTAGTAGAGGCGTTTTAAAATCGTGAGTCTGACGATAGGATAAAAAAGACAAAATCTACTAACGGTGGATAAGATCTCTATTCCTAGCAATTCCTCGTAAGATCTCCATTCCTAGCAATTCCTCGTAAGATCTCCATTCCTCGTATCTCCTCTACAAAGACAACTCTCATATCTCTCTTCCATGCATGCCACCTTATTTCTCCGTCTCCGATATAATTGAACTCATTCTGTATTATTCTTGTTTTGGATGAACAGGGGAAAAGATATCGAAGTAACTGACGAAGAACAACGAAGACATGAAAGCATCGCTGTACTCGCTCCGAACCCAGAAAATGGAGACTGATAGGAGGCTAATGGAGTTGCAATCCTGACGTTCTAGTTGTGATCAAGCGTTATTTTAATCGCACCCCAAAGAAAGCAATTAACTGAGTTTTTTTAACTCAAAGATGCCTTTGATCAATCACAAACTCGGAACCACAAGTGCCCAAATTCAATGAATGAGTTGTTGGGGCTTAAATGTCTGTAAAATCGTATTATTAGATATAGGACACTTCGGTGCATGAAATACTCAAAATGTCAAGAAGAAGCTACAAGATAGGATCATAAACTAGTCTGAGAAACTATTCCACCACAGACGCATGAGGGTCCAAGGAAATACATTATTACGGGGAGTACTTCAGAACAATCGGAAAATTCTCCACAGCTCAGCTCATTGTGATGCTTCCACAAGTTTCTGAAAACAAAGGCCAATAAATTAGTAAACTTGCTGTGAGAAAATACATGTGCAAGTTTGATTATTGCACCAGCTACATCTTGCTACGAGTTCCAAATGCTCCATGTATTAAGATCCAAATGATCCATTAAACTAAAACCATGAAATGTAACTAAAAGAGAGAAATCAGGAAAATGCTTTTCATTATCCAGCCGAGCCCCGAGATAGCGATTGTACACTCAACATTTGCCTTGTATAATTACCCGAGTCTCACCAAGAAGGTGACAAAAGGAGCCTCAAAGTGTAATAATCTAATTTCCTTGACAAAAATAAGTCCTAGAACTCGAATTATGTCTTCGTGTATTTCAGAACATTTTCCCATTTCTAACACTTCATGAACAATTACCGAATGGATAAACTTAAAATGAAAGTACAACCAAGAAAAGGAGTTAACCTAGTAAAATAAGAGGCACAAACAAATTGTTCTAAGAAGTTAATCTTGTAAAAGAGTCAAAACCAATCAATGACTGCCAAATAATATTCATTTAAAAGCACCTGTAAATACTTGCAAGTGTTTAGGTATAATAAGCGCACAGAAAATAAGAGCAGAAGTACCTCATCCTTCTTTCCCTTGCCCCCGGTAAAGAACTTGTAACCTCCGAAGAAGAGTAGGCCCCATCCCGATAATGAGACAATCACAAACTGCAAATTTCAGAACAAGTTCAATTTTCTTATTAGTAAATATTGTTTGAAAGAGTCGGGAATAAACAACTAAATAAAAAATAAAGCACAAGTATGATAATCAGGTCATTGTTTATTTATTATCCACGTCGAGATGAATACTTAAGGAGAAGAGGGCATTCTATATAAGACTCATAAGTTTCAAAGCAAAAAAAAAAAAGCTATTTAATTTAAGGTAGTAGAATTTTCATACTTCAAATCCTAAGCAAAGCAAAGAGAACAATTAATATGGTAACCCGAACAGCTGCATTTAGCTCTAAATCGAACACAAAAATTCCAATTTGTAGCTAAATTAATAAGACTAATCTCATACAACACTACAAGTAGATGAGACTATATTAAATATGGAGTACGAAAAAGACCACTTAAACAACAAAATCAAGTACTTTGTCGAGTAGGTCACAAATTTGAGATATTCTGATTGAAAGTCCAAAAAAGTTATCATGTTTGTTAGTCTGGTTCTTAAATCCTCACTACTTGATGATAGCAAATAGGAAGAACAAATAGGAAGAACAAAAAGGAAAAAGAATGAAAGAAGACGATAGTAGTTTCATATGCAAAAATAAGTCTCACATGCTCTTCCTTCCATTTAGATGGGCTCATGGGATCTGACCAACAGTTAACCTTCGGTGGTCCATGGTGGTCTGCAAATATCAATAAAGAGGGTCAAACTTACAAGCAAAAAGATCGTTTGTTCATCTTTTGATGTTCCTTTCTCTTCCCTTAATGTTTGATTATTTGCTCATCTTTCTCCCAACACAAACATTACGAAAGGAAATACAAGAGAATTTCAAATGCATGTATAGAGTGTAATCTTGCAGAAAAAGCCTGAAAATTAAGTTTTTGGTGATGATATATCTTTCAAATTAGCAAACTATTCTTTTGCAAATTATAAATGCTTTTAAAACATAACAATTATCTTCATGAAATACTCAACTACGTGTGGGATGCAGGTAATATATGATAATTGCAAATCAAAAACAACGTTTTCCTTTTCTTATTTTAATTATCCCAGATGCAGTGTCTTCCGTTTCCTAATTGAGCTAAGTTATCAAAGTGCAGTATATTTCATACCCATTTCGATCCTAGACAACAACCCTCGCTATCAAAGAATAATAGTGAAATCTCCTCTTATAAATCTAGTTCTCTAATTAGGTAAAATACATTCCAAAAACTAAATAAATTCGCACCTTCTCAAGATCCCTCGATTAATGCCTACCTTAGAAATGATAAAGAGCCAAAAACAGAACTTAGGGAAAAATATATACAACAACGATTCCCATTTCGGAATGAAACTCCAAGAAATCCAGAGATCAAAGAATATTGAACGAAACCGAAACTGGAATAAGTCCAAGCAGATGATCTGAATTAATAAAAATGAGATCGGGAGATGAAACCTACCAGCAGCGCCAGCGAGACCGCGCCTTTGAATAAGAGTGGCAGCTGACTGAGGAGAGGAGACTCGAGTTAGGGCTCTGGCTTGACGAGCTGCGGCAGCCGCTAAGGTAGCCATGGATTCAGATTTTCTTCCCTACAGAGAGAAAGAGAGATCAATGACGCTGATACGGCGGAACGGAAGCTAGAAATAGACCCGACCGCTTCAACAAGATGACAAGCAGAGATAAGACGACGTCGCTTTAAGCCTCTTCGCTTTCTCTCCCTCTATTTATTTTTAATTTTTTTTTTCCTCTCTCGTTCTAATTTCGATATTTTTTAGTTCAATCACCTATCAAAATTTAATTAATAAATAAGCTTATTTTGACTTTAATTCAGAGTCTCAAATAATCGAAATATATGTATTATATATATATATATATATAATCCGAATATAAATAACTAAAAAGAATCTCTCTAATAAAATTAAAAATAATCGGACAAAATATAGATGTAATTATAACTATTTTAATTAATCACCTTGAATTTAATGGGCGGAGCTATTTGCCTGGTTGAAATTATTTCAAATAAAAATAAAAAATTAACAATATTTTTAATATATTTAATAAAAATGCATAAACCTCTCAAATTTTGTTCGAAAATTATATAAATAAGGTTAAGTTACTTAGTATTTGAAATTTAAATATTTATTTGATCATTAAAATTAAAAAAAATAGTTTAATAACTTTATGAATTTTCAATTTTATATAAGTCTAAAAAATTGTTTAAAGGTTAGATTTATATTTAAAATAATAATTGATACCATTATATTTTTATTAAAAATTAATAATAATAATTCTTTGTTTCTATGTCCAATGCTTCATTTCCCTCTCCAATTGAGGTCCACCTCTCTTGAAAGTCCACCATTCGAGACCTGGCTTTTATATTATTCGTAGGAGCCTAAGCTCACCTCTAACAGATGTTCTCGGTAGGCTTTTCTTTTGGAGTTTCTCTCAAAGAGAGTTAAATAGTATGTTAAGGAGAGGTTTCCACGCTCATTTGAGAAATGTAAGCTCACGTATAGCATATGTTCTATGTAGGCTTTCATTTTTGGTCTTCCCTCGAGTAGTCGAGTAGAGTTAACGTCTTACCAAATACTCGACTCGGTTATTTAAAAAAAAAAAAAACAAAAATATTAGCCCAAATTAATTAGTTTAAGCTGAATGAATAGTGTTTACATGAGCAGCCATTTCATCCAGAGGCCGGCATTCACTGCTGTACTCATCTCCTCAAAATGGAATAGCCAAAACCCGGATGCATTTATTCACTACATAGCTTAATTAACGAGAGACGTAATCAGAATGATGTTCCTGAGCCCCACAACATATCAATCAAAATCAAACCCTGGAAGCTTCTTCGCCTTGTTCTTGTAGCTGCTGCAGATGATGATGATGATGATGATGATGATATTGCTCTGTTTTCATTTGGATAATCCCACATTTCAAACTCCTTTCTTCCATCTGCCACGCAACAAATCAACACAAAATTAACACAAATCAACAAATCTGGGCTTCTGGGCTTCTTCTTGTTCATACCTCTAGTACTGATATGGCTTTGTGGAGTTCAAACACTTCCTCTAGAACCAATCTCTCTTGAATCACCACTTTGGCTAAGTCTGACAGCAAGCAAGCAGTTTCCTTCGCCTGTGTTCATTACCAACTCGTTACACAGTTCTATTATGAGCATACAGAAATGTATTATGTGGCTGGGTGGCTGGCTATTACCCGTGGGGCGTGTCCTGATATCATTGACTTCATTGACGCTAACAGATCACAGGCTTGTCTCAATGCCATCGACATTGTTTCGCCGTCAATCTGTATGTATGTTGCTATGATTTAGATTTAGAAAACTAAGAGAGACAGCCAATTATGTATCTTTTCTTGGAAATGAGTCGCAATATTGGCTAATTAAGAAAATGATTTGGGTTTGTGTACAATATCATACTACTATAGAGATCCGTAATTCATAACATGATACTAGAGTCATGCTCTTAACTTAGTTATGTCAATAGAATCCTCAAATGTCGAATAAAGAAGTTGTGAGCCTCGAAAGTGTAGTCAAAAGTGGTGTCGAACAAAGGGTGTACTTTGTTCGAAGACTCCAGAGAAGAGTCGAGCCAAAGGTGTACTTTATTAACTCAAGTATCGAACAAATAGTATAGTTTGTTCAAAGACTCCGGAGAAGGAGTCGAGCCGAAGGTGTACTTTGTTGACTCAAGTGTCATGTAATTTCTTCGAAAGACTCCAGAAAAGGAGTCGAGTCAAGGGTGTACTTTATTGACTCAAGTGTCGAACAAAGAATGTACTTTGTTCTAAGACTCCAAAGAAGGAGTCGAGCCAAGGGTGTACTTTATTGACTCAAGTTCCAAACAAAGAGTGTACTTTTGTTCTAAGACTCACTTGTAGGTACTTTATTAACTCAATTGTAGAACAAAGAGTGTACTTTGTTCTAGGACTTCAAAAAAGGAGTCAAGCCTCAACTAAGTGGGAGACTGTTTGAGGACTCCATAGGCCTCGGGAAGGCGATATTGCACTTTGTTCGATGGGAGAATTGTTGAGGATTGTTGGAAGTAAGTCTCACATTGGCTAACTTAGGGACAATGATAATAGGTTTATAGGTAAGGAATACACCTCCAAGCTACGAGAGCTTGACAATATCATACCATCATGAGATCTAACGTGTCTTTTACCTTTGCTCCTTCGATCAGCGGTACCCTGCAGATAACAGAATGCAGACAATCTTTGGTCATTGAAACTGCAGCCAAATGTTGCCTCTCCATACCTCCCCAGCTCTCCAATGGCTTCAGCTGCAAAACAAACTCAATCAATTCTCAGCGATGTTATTCCACAAGTGCGGGGGAGAGTTACTCACTTGAGAATGGACAATGAAATTCAACTTGAATTGAAGCTTTTCTTTCTGTAGCTGCAGCTTCTTTTGCTGCACAGACTGCTGCAATATAGCGATATCATAGCAGGCAATCGTCAAATTTTTCTGCGAAGTTTCAAAACAAGAAGCGCCGCCCCTGTTCTTAGAGTTCACCCACATCATATTTCAATCAATATTAAAGAATCTATACCTCTGCTAGACTAGCCAAGTTTACACTGGCGGAACGAGCTCTAGCATTGGCGAAACGCCACTGCACCAGTCGATTATGAAACACTCTGAGTTGATGAACGCTATCTGATACTGCAAACCCAATTGGGGATGTGATGGAAATCGATGATTTTCTACTCTTGAACAAGTCCAATCCCAAGTTAAGCAACTTCTCCATACCCGTTGCGGCTTTTGATGGAGTTCTTACAGGTTTTAAACTAGAAAACGACATCGGCTTTTCTTTGCTCTCCACTGACATCGGCGGCGACCCTGACCGTCCAGGCGATAATGCCCACTGCGACGTGGAACTCCCATGTCCGGAGATTGAATTAGATCGTTGAATTGGGGTTTTCCCATGAGTTTTCTTCGCTGTTGGCGAACTCTCTAATGAAACAGGATTTGGGACGCTTGAATCTGAAGAACCCCTTTGAAGCCTTCTTGATGGTACATCGTTCATATACTTCGAAGGGACCATTATACCGGCTCTCCGGCAGATTATGGTCGGCATTTTGCCCAACATCGTCGGAGACCCATCTGGGTCCAAGTCAAAACTGTTCTTGAAATTTTCCGATCGCCGTCTTGATGATCTTCCAAACAGAGCATTCTCATCCACCGACAATCTCCCAGATTCCGAACTCTGAACCGGCAATTTCGACGACGAAGAGCTCACGTATTTCCCCTGTATTTTCCCGCAGTATCTCAAAGAACCCCCAATAATCGGTTTATCGTTTTCTTTAGCGCATTCCTTTTCCGATTCGAGATTACTCAGCTCCCGGGAATCTCTCTGTTTATCGACGAACGGAATACCATTACTGCCAGTGGGTTTTTCATCCTTGAATCGTTCATTTCCGAGATGATCAGCAAGAGTATCGAATCTCTTAGAAGAAGGCCAGAGTCCATGAACGAATAATGACCCATCTTGGCTTCGGTGCTTACGAGCATCAAATGAACTGAATCTTGATTTCCGGTGAGTGGGTGACAGAGGTTGAGTCGGAGACGACGAGGGTGCGGCGGCGTCAGTGACAGAGGCCGGCGAGAGAAATCTTGAACTCACTTCGCGAGATTTGGGTCTTCTGGGTCTGTGAAGCTGATCGGAAACGAGTGATTCATTGACATTCTTCATCGGAAGTACAATGAGGGATTTGTGAACCTTGTGTGTGTGTGTGTGTGTGTTGTTGTTGAGAAGAATGGCGGAGGGGAAAAGGGAGGAGTTAGTTAGGGAGGAGAGATCACTTAACAAAATCGGATAAATCGTTTTCTGTTCCTTGAGGATTCCGTCAAAAGACAAAAAAGAACGTTGAATCGCCATGAGAGGAGATCGCAACGAAACGGAGACGGTTAGAAATTTGAATTTATTCGGAGATGGATTTTCCGGTATCGTTTTTTTACTCCGCCGGCTGCCTCGGTGGACTAACTGGGTGTGCGCCACCTGTCATCTACATGAACATAATTAATATATGTTAGTATGAGACCGTGACATCTTTATTGCCATTGACATTATAAACTTTGATGTTCTTATTTTTTTTATAATTAAACTTATAAATTATTTCGAAACATATATTATGACAATTGGCACGACATTCCATAGATATAAATTAAGGTAAAAAATTTAGATAAACTAACGTCATATCTTACAATCTACTACTTGTGGTCCTAGTGTTCTGGTACACTACCCGATGTTTAGTTTTGATATTATTTGTAATAACTCAAGCTCGTTGTTAATAGATATTGTCCGTTTTGACCTTTTATATATTGTTGTTAACCTTTTAGTTTTAAAATAGGTCTATTATGGAGAGATTTTCACACAGTTATAAGGAACATATCATTCTCGCGGGCACACCACTCAAGCTCGCTGTTAATAGATATTGTCTGTTTTAGCTCGTTATGTATTGCTGTCAATCTCACGGTTTTAAAATATGTCTATTATGGAGAGATTTTCACACATTCATAGGGAATGTTTCATTCTCGCTTTCACACCACCCAATGTTTAGTTTTGATACTATTTGTAATAACTCAAGCTCACTGTTGATACCATTTGTAATAACTCGCCCGTTTTAGCCGGTTATGTATAGTATATTATGAAGAAATTTTCACACATTTATAGGGAATGTTTCATATGTATAGTCTATTCTGGAGAGATTTTCACACACTTATAAAGAATATTTCATTCTCAGCACACCAATCAATGTTTAGTTTTGATACCATTTCTAATAACTTAAGCTCACTATTAATAGATATTGTTCGAGCTCACTGTTAATAGATGTATTGCTGTCAACCTCATGGTTTTAAAATACTTCTATTATGGAGAGATTTTTAGCCTGTTATGTATTGCTGTAAACCTCATGGTTTTAAAATACGTCTATTATGGAGAGATTTTTAACTCCGTATTTCCCCGTTCTCTTCCCCGATCGAGGTATCCTCTCTTTCGCCCAAGACGGATTGATTTCATTATCAAAAATTTGGAGCGTGAAGTGGAATTAGATCTATTTTTTGGGAGGTATCCAGATTAATATTATCAATTAGAATAATTTATGGTTTTCTCGGTTGTACTAATAAAATGAAGTATCCAGGTTGTAGTATCTGACATCAGCAATAAAGATGAAAATTTTTTAAGTTAACTTAATTGAGACCTACGTTAGGGTAAGCTCTTTCAATTAACCTCTCTACTTACCACTTTGCTTAATTTTATGCTTTCTCCAATTACGCCATTTTTTGGGTTCATTTCTTGAATCAACCGACGGGTTTTAGCTTGAGTGCAAAGTCATCGTTGGCTTCTGTTAAAGATGTATAGTGCATATTACAAGCTTCACAAATAGCTGTTTTAAGAACATGTTTTTGTGTTCAGAATTCGATCTAAATATTCAAACGCTTCTCGAAGAAACGTGAGAGAAAAGCAACTCGAAATCATGCAGGAGGAACGAGTGAAAGTGAGAATAAACAGCCAAATTTCAGGAAGGGAATTGAAAATGCATCCACCAATTCATAACAACAGGGAGTGTAAACCTCCCAAGAACTAAACTTCCAAATTCAAATAAGTTAGGATGCCCATCCCTGGGAGTTGTGAGTGCTACTGATACATAGAGAGGAACAATTGCTGCTAATGGCACAAGAAAAATGGTCTTCTGCTGCTGTTCAATCTAACCTATAAGGAAGGACAGAAGCAATTATCTATTATCAAGGATCTGTGCTACAACAGGAAACCGAATACTCGAATATTCATGTTACAGCAACGTGCCATACTTGATGTTGAGTTATAATGGCACGCCTGTGGCTCGATGTCCTGAAAAATTACTGATGTCCTTAAACAACAATCTTCCCTGTGGAAAACAAATGTATGTTCATATAATCAATGGAAGTTGCAGCTTTGCAATAGAGGATGAGTATAATCAACGTATTTCTCCCAAAGGGGCTTGTACTTCTCTATCCCAATCTTCAACCATGGCTTCGAGTTACCATTAAAATGAAGCACAGCCCCCTTCTCAATCACCTTAGGATCGATATTTGTGTAGCCCAATCCTAACACATGCCATGAGGGATCCAATGGTTCTGTCAATCCATAGAATGTAAGCAGTCCAGGCGGCAGCGTACCAAGTTTCCATAGTGTCCGGTCTACATTCTTTTCCTGCCAATAATGGTAGATGCCCGTAACATTTCTCTTCCTCCACTCTACCAAGTCGAAGACATTCATCCCGAATGCCCATCCGCACGCATCGGGATCGAAATGTTCCCTGATAAGGGGGTGGGAGTAGTTCAAGTACTTATGATATCTGTGAAAGGTCTCCATGCATGTCTCCACAGCTCCATTTACATTACCATTCAAATTAATGCTGAAAAGATCAGAAAGATCTTTCTGGACCACAATATCATCATCAAGAAACACAACTTTTTTAAGAGCAGGAAAAACTTCTGGAATATAAAACCTGAGATGGTTGAGCATTGAAAGATATTTTGGATTCCGAAACTTGATGGGAGTCCGACTGTCACCGCCGTTACCTGAAAAATAATAGTTCTGAGTATCCGAGTCTTGAAGTTGCTTGAGTACTGGGACATAGGAAGCATTTAACCAGCTAAAATCCTCAAACTTTTGCACATCAACAGTCACCCTTCTAAAATTGTTCATTGAAAACCAGGCCTTCATTGCTGCATAATTGACCTCATCAGTTATGAGATGGAAAACAATCCTATCAGGATTTTTTGAATTCAAAGCAGTCGAGTTGACAACAACTGAAGTGGCCAGGATGTTGTCAGAGAAAACACAGAAATGGTAGAGATCATTATCTCTAAGTTTCGTATCTATTTGCCTCTTTTCACTAAACTTCCTCTGTACATTTAAGTTTCTGAACCATTCAGTGGTCAAGCGAACGCCAAGGCAGTACAAACTTTTGGGGACTTCTTCAGCAGCAATTTGTCCATATTTTGAACTTTTTTCACTGACAGAGCTCACATTCTCATCAAGAATCTGGATTTTAGCTTTCAATCTCATGATCATGGTTGCACTATCGTAATGAAGTTGCTGGGCTTGGTAGAGCAACAGTGCCATGTCCCGTATTGCAGTTTCTGCTTCTGTAATACTCAGAGGTGCTCTCCTTGTTGCAGCATTTGAGAGGAGGATCTGTGAATTCCGGATTTGGGCACTTAATTCCCAAGCAAACTGAAGATTGCTGCTCTCTTTTGCAATCACAACGAATGCTTTTGCTAGAGAAATTTGGTCACTGATTTGCCGTGCAATTGAACTGGGGTTCAACATTTCTTCAGTAATGTTGAGGCCTTCCATAATTCTTTCATGGCTATATGATCTCTACATAATGGTGCAGAAAAGATCAAAATTAAGCAAATTGTTGTCGATGTAGCAGTAAGACAGTAACGATTCGAAAGCCTAACTTAGCCAAAGCTTATAGACAATGGGAAGATCAGCATTACTCGATGGAAAGCAAATTATTCTAACAAATACAAACGTCGTTAAAACTCAAGATGCCACATTGAAGTATGGGCCATGTAAGTATTGAGAGCAAGTAATTTGGGGCACAGAAAGTAAAGCAATTACATAGTTTTTTTTTGCTTGAACTTGTTTGAGTGGGAGGCACACAAGCTCCTCAAATTACTTCAAATTCTAATTTACTGTTCTTGAATTGGTTTCTATCACCTAGTACTAAGTTTCACCAGCCATTTTTCCAGTGTCCCAAGAGACAAAGTAGCTCCAAAGGCAGATGATCAGAGACGGAAGATCAAATATAAAGTTACTTCAAAACAGATCAGAAAGGAAAAGCAAAAAGATGTCACACGACGCAAAGCTAGATCGTAGATGGCAGTTCTATTTGTCAAATTAGCACAACATCAACACAAATCCATAACCTACACAAGGTAGCTGAGAATAATAAATTCAGGACCGGCAATCGACATTCTAGTTGAATCCCATCCCACAATTTCCTCCAGAAACATAAGCAAAATCGGTGGAGAAAAATAGAAAGAGAAACAGATCTTTACCTTTATTAAGACAGGCCTGGACTCAATCTGACTCCCTTTACTGAGAATGAAAACGAAAAGCAAAACCGCAACAAAACACAGAGTCCACCAAAAGGCGTTGGATAATCTTCTCCTGACAGGCCTTCGGAAATCCGGGGGCCTCCGCCTCATTCTCTGGCTGGATTTCCGATCGTGAGCGAAACAGAGTTTTGACTTGAATGGGGGAAAAGAATTGGAGCAATGAACTGAATCAGATCAGTTCCGGAGTTGAAAAACTGAAGGTGGGTATTTCAGATCCCGAAGTGGAGGCGGTGAATGTATGAATTAGGGAGATGGAGATGGAGATAGGGTTAAGGTTCGGTTAGAATAACTCCATTTTTGCTTGCGATCGATCACTGGAAAGCGAGGAAGGAAGCTGTGGTGCAGAGTTGAATTTTTAATTGCCTCCATGTTTTGTTGGGGTTCTCTGGTTTCATCCGTTTCTAACCCCACCCGACAGTACACGCTTCTCTCACAAATTAAATTAATAAAAATATATAAATTTTTAATTCTTTTTAATAATCACTAAATTAATAAAAATGAATTTTACTTATTTAACGAGTATTTTTTAAAATATAATACTAATATAAAGATATTTTTTAATTTTTTTAAATCGAAGAATATTAATAATTTTATATAATTAGAGAGTATTTTTAAAACATTATTAAAAGTTTTTAAAATATTTTTTTAGATTTTTTTTAAATTTAAAATTATTATTGGAAGTGCGGACGGGCCGGGCTTTCTCTTGGGCTATGGCCCAAGTGAAAAATTGGAGATATCCGAGTAGCTAGGGCTTTAGTAGCCTATATAAACGAACGCGAAGTCCCTTAAATCATCGAATAAGTTTGCGCCCGGGGCGAGGATGATCTAGGGTTTATCGTGGAGCTGGGGATGTAAACCAGCATAAGGTCTTTTTGTTTTTGTTTTTGTTTTTGTTTTTGTTTTTCATTGATTTCGATTCAATTATGGCTTGCACGATGCACCCCGGGCTTCCCTGATGTTCTACGTGAAGTTGATAGCCCCATTGCTCGTGCTAGAGTGGTGTCGTTTAGTGTTGCAGGTCGGCCTTGCTCTTTTCCACGGCTGATCTGTGTCAAAATAACGGCGAGATTCCTTTATCTTGGTTATAACGCCACAATGTAATGTTGCATCTTCTTTTTGGGGCGGCCTCACTACACCTTTAGCTTGTTTCTGCAGATTATGAATATGGGAATGAAGCTAGTCATAGAGGCCGAAATTTAGTACTCGACGGTGTTCACGTGGGGGCCTCTAAAAACTTCCGCTATAGATATTCTGAATCCCAATTTTTATCCAATTTTCTGAATTTTAGTGATATTGAAGAGTCGTGGGCGATGATTTTATATTTATCCGCGCTTCCGAGGTTTAACGATGAAGCAAACTTAAAATTAATGGTTGAATTTCTTAATATGAGCCATCTTCTTCTATCATTGTTTTGTTGGCTGTTATTTTTTATTTATTGTTTTTCAAGTCTAGCGGTGAGGATTTTACTTCAGCTTCTAACGCCAGTTCTGCTTCAGAATTTGATGATCGATAAGCTGTTACAAATCATCTGAGCTTTCGACACCCTCAAAGTTTTCCTTAATTCCCTTTTTTTGAGTGTAGATATCGTACCTGCTGCCTTTTTTTATTGGCAGTTCTGATTTAGCTTTCTTGTGGCTACCCTTGTTCTAAATTTAATGGTTTAAAATTTTCAGTCGAATTTAGTTTTCTGGAGGTTAACCATTCATTTTAGTTTGAAGGGTTAATTTTGCCAATGATGACTTAATCCGTCTTGTCTGAGACGTTGTGGAGCCAAGCCCCTGTTTCCAGGAAGAACCTACTTGGTGAAGCTATGTTCATATGATTTTAATGGATTCAACTGAGGTCACAATGGGTTCTTATTCTTTGGTGAACCAGTAAATTTATTTAATTTGAACGAAGCCGATGAAGACTCATTATAACTTATCTGAGATGTTGTGTAGCCAAGACCCTGCTTCAGGGAGAACCAACTTGGTGAACCAACATTTATTTGAGTTATATGGATTTTGCAGAGGTTTCAATTTAGAAAGTTTTAACATTTAGTCTATCGTTTAACTGTTAATTTCTCTCTGTATATTTATTCTGTTGTTTTGAGTTTAACTATACTCGTTCCTGAGCTAAAGTGGGTATGGAGTCTGAAAAAACTCAGAAATTATGTGTTGTCATCAGCTTCTTCTCGCCTACTTAAGGAGACTGGAGTTAAATAACAGCATCAAATTCCCAAAATATACCCAAATTCATTGATGTTCAACGATTCCTTGTTTTTCATCTGTTCTTTCTTCTGTGTTTCTCTTATAGATCGATTGAAAGTGCTGTGTATGATCAACTGTTTTGATCGGCCTGTGTATGATCAAGAACCATAAAATTGCTAGCAGACAACAGGCAGGGAAGCTTACACAAGTTTCGGAGTTTCCATTTTATGCTTACTTGTACTTAACATTTTTTTAATTATGTTATTAATGTTAAAAAATATATTACGATCGTTATTGATATTTGTAATCAATGAATGAAAATTTTCCCCATATTTGTCCCTTCTAATTTTACTTTTAATAAATCTTAATTTTTTTTTTAAATATAGTCCCTTAACCGTTCCTAAGATACTGATCATAACAATATTATCCAATATTGCATTTTAGTAGATGAATAAAAATTTTATGTCTACTAATAAGAATGATTATGAGTTTATAAATAAAGAAAATTGTTTCTAGCATGAAGCATTTTGAAGAAGCTAAAGTCACGAGAGTTTAGAATTTATTGTTGTTTTTTACCGAAAATTGAGAAAAAGGAAAAATTAAAGATTTGATTTTTTAATCTTTCGATAACAAATTTGAATTTGTTTAAAGGTGCGGAGGATGACCATAATAACGAATTGTTCTTCAGAGATGAAATTAACAAAATTTCAGAAATTCAGAGCTCTGTGATTTGGTTTCCTATGAAAGCACAGAGCTTTTCGTGTTTGTGGGGTTAAAGAAGATGGGTTCAAACTATCTACGCTTGCTTTCCTACACTAAGCAATTGAGCTTTTATGCCAACCATGGCAACCACGAGCAGGCTCTTGCTCTTTTCCACCACATGCAGGCCTCACTAGCCCTTGCTCTAGACGCCCACGTCTTCTCTCTCGTTCTCAAGTCCTGCACCGCCATCCGCCGACCCCATTTGGGCACTGCCATCCATGCCCACGCTACTAAATCCTCCCTCCTCTCAAGCCCATTTGTTGCCTGTGCCCTAGTTGACATGTACGGCAAATCCATGTCCGTTCCACTCGCACGGAAGCTGTTCGATGAAATTCCTCATAGAACTGTCGTCGCCTGGAATGCCATGTTATCACTATACACGCACTCAAACATGTTACCTGATGCTCTCCGGTTGTTTGAAGCTATGGATGTGCCCCCCAATACTTCATCCTTCAATCCAATAATTGCAGGGTTGTTGGATGATGGATTCAAGGCCATTGCTTTCTATCGCAAGATGCAACAATGTGGGTTGAAGCCTAATTTAATTACCCTTCTTGCTTTATTACCTGCAAGTGTTGGAGTTGCGGCTTTGGACTTGATTAAACAAATTCATGGTTTTGCCATGAGAAATGATCTTGGTTGTCATCCCCAGTTAAGCAGTGGCCTTGTTGAGGCCTATGGGCGATGCGGCTGTCTCAATTATGCACACAATGTGTTCGATAAAATGCACGAAAGAGATGTAGTCGCATGGAGCAGTTTAATATCAGCATACGCTCTTCATGGGGAGGCTAGAACTGCTTTAAACATCTTTCAACAAATGGAATTGTGTAAAGTGCAGCCTGATGAGATTACATTCATAGGAGTGTTGAAGGCTTGTAGTCACGTGGGGTTAGCTGATGAAGCATTGGATTATTTCAGTCGTATGCAGAGAGATTACGGTCTACAAGCAAGCAGCGACCATTATTCTTGTCTAGTAGATGCATTGAGCAGAGCAGGGAGATTACACGAGGCATATGAGATTATCCGCGAGATGCCAGTGAGGGTGACGGCTAAAGCTTGGGGCGCCCTCCTCGGGGCTTGTCGAAACTATGGGGAGTTAGAGCTGGCGGAGATTGCAGGGAAGGCTTTGTTTGATATAGAGCCTGAGAATGCTGCCAATTATGTGCTGTTGGGTAAAATGTATGCAAGTGTAGGGAGGCATGAGGAAGCTCAAAGACTGAGAATGGAAATGAAAGAGAGGAGAGTTAAGGCAGTACCTGGAAGTAGCTGGGTTGTTTATCAGGATTGATTGAAGTGGTTTCTTTGTTCATTGTTTCAGAGAGCCAGTGGTCATGTTTAAGCAACTCATTGGAATGAGCTGAATAGGTGCCATGGTTATCAAATTCATATCATTCCAAAGAACGCCATTTGCAGATCTCAGCATGCGTTGGGATTAGGGGAACTTACTTTATATTTGAAGGTTGAGGCTAGTTTTTATTTGATTTCTAGATTAGTGGCCAAGGGTTGAAGGATGTGATGGTGTCTATGTTCTTGGTGATTGTGCCACCGTAAATCCAAAGAAGAGTCATGGTGACTGCGTTTCATTCTATTTGCTTCACTTTCATAGATCTTTCTTGTTGATAACCTGTTACTTGCAGGAAGATATTGCAGTAATATTCATTCAGTAAGGAGTAGGAAGACAAGGACAAGTCAGGAACTTTAGTTCTATATGCAGAAGAAGCTGATGAAGAACTTTGCAGCTTTGTTGAAGAAGACGCAATCCAGTGCACACCAAACTGGATATTGAAAGCTTTAAGTGCTTACTTTCTCAAGTCAATTCTCAGATGGAAAATTTTCCTGTACTCATACATCTAAATCATATTGGAATACAAATAGAAGATTCATATTTGGCTTAATCTAATCTGGTGAGATTCTACGTTGGTTGGTGGGAGAGTCAACGAAGCATTACTTATAAGAGTGCGAAAATAGCGAGTTATAGCGGACAATATCTGCGAGCGGTGTACTAGCGAGGATGCTGGGACCCCCCAAGGGAGAGGATTGTGAGATCCAACATTGATCGGAGAGGGGGCTTGAGCCGTTACAAATGGTATTAGAGTTAGACACTGGACAATACACTAGCGAGGATGCAGGGCCAAGGCGATGGATTAGGGGCAGCCAAAGCCAGACCTCAGGCGATGTACCAACGAGGACTGTGCCAAGGGGATGGATTAGGGGTGGATTCTGAGATATCACATTAGTTGGAGAAGAGAATGAATTAAAACCGTGACTCAGACACCGTGGTGAGGACGTTGGACTCTTAGGGGGGTGGATTATGAAATCTCACTACATCTATATTAGCGGTGGACTTAAGCTATTACAGAAAAAGTTGTGTAAAACGAAAGCGGATCCCTTTATTTCCACAAACACAAGCCTACAAGATCAAGCTTCGCCAGTTTCCATAACAGGAGTTATAGTTCACAAAGTACTGATATTAAAAATTAAAAAAAAAAAAAAAAAAAAAAAAAAAAAAAAAAAAAAAA